ATGGGATGTCATGTGTTCTTGTCCTAGGGGAGGTTAGGGACAGGAGATTTGTTGTGGTTTCTTGTCCAGTAGGGAAGGGTTGGTTGTTGAAAAGAAGGTTGAATGGGATGTCATGTGTTCTTGTCCAAGGGGAGGTTAGGGACAGGAGATTTGTTGTGGTTTCTTGTCCAGTAGGGAAGGGTTGGTYGTGGAAAAGAAGGTTGCATGGGATGTCATGTGTTTTTGTCCAAGGGGAGAGAAGGGACAGGAGATTTGTTGTGTTTTTTTGTCCAGCAGGGAAGGGTTGGTTGTGGAAAAGAAGGTTGCATGGGATGTCATGTGTTCTTGTCCAAGGGGAGGGGAGGGACAGGAGAGTTATTGTGGTTTCTTGTCCAGCAGGGAAGGGTTGGTTGTGGAACAGAAGGTTGCATGGGATGTCATGTGTTCTTGTCCTAGGGGAGAGGAGGGACAGGGGATTTGTTGTGGTCTCTTGTCCAGCAGGAAAGGGAGTAGTGGAACAGAGAGTTGCATTTGGATTCAAAGAGATGGGAGGGATAGGGCTGCAGAGATGTCAAGTATTGATGACATTAAACCTGATAACGTTTCAGCATATATACACCATTATCTTCTGGAAAAGACAAGAGTTGCCCAACATGATAAGGTACAGTTTATTCAACTGTTGGGTTAGGTACTAGTGGGAGTGTTAGTCGAACCTAACCATGTCATGTCCTTGAGGTAACCATGGAAACCAGGCMACACCCCAGCAGCTGGTACCTGTCACACTGTCCAAGCCAGTGGACAATTATTGCCTTATAATGCCATGCCTTCTAAACCAAGAGGATGTAGRGGTGGATCCAGGAATTTTAGAAAGGGGGTGACTATTACGAAGGTTTTACCAGGAATTTGAGGAAAAGGGAGGTGACTAGTCACCTATATTACCACCCCTGGATCTGCCCCGCCTGGGTTGGTTACAGGGAGCAAAAAAAAAAACAAACAATGCAAACCATGATGTAAGACATTGACAAACCAGCCCATGTACTAGGCAGGGTTGTGGAAAATCACTATGCCCACTGGAAGTTGGGGCCTAAATTTTATTCAAAAAAATTGAAATTCAAAGTATTATGAAAGGGGTGGATAAAGTGGCACAATCAGTGGTTGGTTTTATCAGTCTTTACCAGACAAATGTTTGTTTTATTTCAGGCGGAAGGAAATTTTCACATTTTTTACCAGTTTCTTATTGGCATGTCAGATGAAGGTCTGGAAAAATATGGGCTACAGAAATCAGCTTATCACAGGTCGGTACAACTTCCCTGATATTTACTAAGTTTTTTTTAAGGAATTACTGCTCGACCAATAAAAATGTCAAAAATAGTGCCGTCATGGTCACGGCACGGCAGCTCCATACCATTAGTTTTTCCAGGAAGAACATAGTTTTCACTTTACCACACCACTCGTGGCTATATAACTTCAAACAACCTCAAATGAACCGGCAACACGATAGTATTCCTAAAAGGTACGCAAAATCTAAAAATAGTTTTCGAGGAATAGCGATATGTCAAACGTATAATGCTGGAATAGTCCCTCTATGTCCTTCATGGCCGCTTGGTTTTTCACAATTCTTAGTACTTTGAGTAGTTTTGGCTGATTGCACGATAGAGCGTTTTCACTCACGTGACAAGGCAGCCATATTGGAGTACCAAACAATAGAAACTTTCTGCACAGTTTTTGCTTAAAAATAGAGTTAGATTTCCCGGAGCATAGAAAATGTATTGTTTTGGTACACCAACATGGCCGCTGTGACGTCCTGAGARCGCTCTTCTGCAACTGCTTGTTATGATGGAGGACTCAATATAATGGGCTTTAAGACATTGCGTCAGTACGGCGCATGCTCAGTATCCCGCTTTGATTGCGCATTTAAATACTCCTAGGGAYGACTTCGCGTGTCTTACGTCACATGGAAGACTGTTCCATAATGTAACACCACAGTCACTAAAACTATTTTTGTAAAAATTTGTGAGTGTCAACGAAACATCGAGTTTGTTCACGGAGTCCCTCAGGTTGTAACTAGTTTCTCGTTTTACAAATTTTRAATTTAAATAGCCCGGAGCCAACCCATGTACGGTTACCCGTACGAATTCCGGGAATTAATGCATAAATCGAGCGCATGCTCAAGACATATGTTGAGTGAATGAAGGCTCAAGCACATATGAATCCCACRTGGAAAGAAGTGAGTATGCGTTCAAAGCCATCAGCGTCACTTTTAAAATTTTGAGTTTGCTGGTTATAGCAAGGGGTTAATCATCTACGGTCTAAGGGCCGACTAACCTCTCCCTTAGGCTTCGGCCAAGCTTCCTGATCAGTCTGTAATTCTCCGGATAGCGGTGTCGGGGTCGAAATCTCCGGCGTAGCCGTAAATGCTTTGCGCTGCCATACGACGGTTGAGCACTCGATGTCTGGAAGTAAGGTCCTGGTTTAAAAAATCAAAAAGAAAAAATCCTAAAATCATTTTTCAAGTCCTTCCTCCCCTTCCCCGGGACCCCCTTTCCCGAGACCCCCTTCCCCG